TTTAGAAAAGAGAACTGAAATCGTCAGCTGAGCTACTGATGTATCGCAGTCGCAGATAACGTTGCCCCGAAAAGAGAATCTAATGAAAACAGGACCCCTTTTTTCTTTTATTGGACTGAAAAAAAAAAAAAAAAAAAAAGAAGAGGAAAAACTTGATATAGGTTTCCCAAAAACTTTCAGTTTTTTAGTGTTGATATGGGTACTTTCATCTTTTATTTTTATTTTAATATAAACTAGCTCATTGACACACGCTCACACGTGTGCCAATTGATTTTATTTTTTATTTTATTTTTTATTTTTAGAATTAAGAAATGATAATATGAATACTTATATTCTATAAAATGAGGACCTATTATTTGATTTTGTTTTTAATTTTAATCTTTTTAATATGAAAAAATGTGAATTTACCATATTATCCTTATTTAATTAATAATTTCAATTCTTAATGGTTGAATTAACCAATGACATTTTTTGGAATTTTGAATGTTTCACCATTCTCTGCCTTTTGCTTTATATATTCTAGCTTCTCCGCACGCGCTTTCGCCCTTGCGAGATGCTTTTTTATTTTTTTATTTTTTTATTTTAGAATTAAAAAGGATAATGGGTAGTTGTATTCCATAAAAATATGATCAATTATCTTATTTTTCTTTTATTTTTAATTTTTATATATGAAAAAGTGTGAATTTACCATATCTTCATTTAATTAATAATTTCAATTCTTAATATTTGCATTAAAAAACAGCATTTTCTGGTATTTTGAATATTTCACCATTCTCTGCCTTTTGCTTTATATATATATATAGATATATGATAATTTAAATTAGTCTAAATTAATTTAATATACTAAACGGTGAGTTTACTGCTCTGTCCAACTAGCCTAACCAACATTTACCGACAAGTTATAGAGTAAAGATGGTAAATTTCTTGATAGGTGAGTGATAAAATATATAGGATAGAGATGGTAAGTTTAATGATAGGCAAGAGATAAAATTGGGAAAGATGAAGTGTTTATTGTTATGTATTATACGCATAGAAAAATGTGTTGAATGAGTTGTGTGCATTATGTTGTTTTGACAATCATATTGCGTTTGCGTAATTTGATGTGAACAGTGAATGTGTTGTGTAAATGTTTGTGCTTTAACAGTGAAGTCCTACAAGCATTTTAGAAGAGAGAAGGGTGGTGGCGGCTTAAGATAGGCGAGGAGGAGGAGGAGGAGGTGGCCGAGATTTGATTGCGGTGTCTTTGGGTCATTTTTAATTAGATCTTAATTTTATCGGTTTAGTTCTTATTTATTTATTTATAAATTGAATTTCTTATTTTTATTAATATTTAATAGTTTTAAAAAAATTCTGAAAGAAATTTAACACATTAACTAACATTTATTTGTATTTTGCAAAGGACCCACTAGTGTAGTAGTTTGAAGCAATTGCTCCTCCATGCAAGATCTTGGTTCGGGTCCTAGTATCCATGCAGTGTGTGTGAGTTTAGTAATAGTAATATTATCACCCCTCTCAATAGAAAAAGTCTTTAAAAAACATTTATATGCATTTCTTATTCCCATTCTAATGCTTGGTTTGTCCAATTTCCACTAAAACATGTTTTAATGGAGGAGCCGTCACCTCAATAATTCCATGAGAGCTTGAATTCACAAGAGAGGAGAGGAGAGGGTCTAAATGGTTCATCACAAGAGAGAAGATGATCTAAATCTTATTGGACCAATATCACAATCACTTTGCCACTACATTTTCCACGAGCTCAAATAAATACCTCAATTATAGATATTGACATATACACAATATTTGACCAAAAAAACAGAAAGAAAAAAAAAACCAACAAACAATAAACCTTGACTCTTTGCATGTAAGAGGAATAACTCTTTGCACCTAAGAAGCCAAAAGAACTTTCCAACCCAAAATAGCAGAACAACTCTACCCGTTTCGTTACAACTAAGCCGTTGTAAGAAATTTTGTGTGCATCGGTTATATATAACCTCCTTACGACATTGTGCGTATATACAGTCTCGTTGTCTTTCGATCAAAAAAAAAAAAAAGTATCGTTGTCTCTCTATGAGATTGGGGCCTCAATTTCTCCTCTGGAATATTAAGCCATTATTTTCTTAGTCTCTCTGGACAAGGGTTGTTGGTGCTGAACAAAATCAAAAGGAAAGAAGACGAAGACGAAGACGAAGATCGAAGGCGTGCTTAATTTTGGGAAGACGTACGTCAAGGGGCAGAGAAGCACATACAATGGTTAACAATGGTACAGGCGGGGAAACTTATTTTTTAAGGGCTGATACAAAAGATTCAGTGCAGTTATGCTATGTAAGAAAAGTTTCCCCATATGGGCTATGGCGTGCCCAAAACCCCTTGATGCAAGCTCTCCCCGTCCTTGTTATGAGAATGATCATCACCATGTTCTTCACTCATCTTTTGGTGCTCGTGTGCAAACCCTTGCACCAACCACGCATTGTTCCTGAGATTCTTGTGAGTACTGCATATCCTTATTACTCTATTACAAATTATTTATAATTCGGCGTAAATATTGTCTTGTGTCGGATATCAATCTACAATATTTGGACGACCACCACCGTAGTTTATATTTGATGACCATGTGTTACTGTGTGCTTGAAAAATTTATGTTTATCACGAAAAAATAATTGTCATTAGAGCATTTTCAGTACTAATTTAAAATTTTCAGGGAGGCATGGCATTGGGTGTTGTGATCTTTTTGAAATCAAATATATTTCCTTTGAGTAGCTTGTTGATGTTAGAGACTGCGGGAAACTTTGCCCTTGTTTACCACATGTTCCTGGTGGGTTTGGAGCTTGATTTCAAACCAATACTACGTGCTGGGAAGAAGTCACTCAGCATTGCCCTTGCTGGCATTGTCTTTTGTGTCCTTGTTGGTTTCGGCTTATTTCGCTATTTGCTATACAAAGATTTTGAATCCCAAACAAAAGCCAAGGGCACAAAGTACGGCCCATTCTTTTGGGGCATTGCCCTTGCCACCACCAACTTCTCTGACCTCGCCGGAATCCTGGCGGACCTAAAACTTCTCTACTCTGATGTTGGAGGACTCGCCTTATCTGCCTCCGTTATCTCCGACTTGTGCTCATGGTTTCTTCTTTTGACGGGAATGGCCATAGTCAATCATAATCAAATTTTAGCGGTGACGTCCACCTTGGCTTTTGTAGGACTATGCGTTTTCGTTGTACGTCCGGCTCTCTCGCGGACTATTAACCGAATCCGCGAGGGAGCCCGTGAGAGTAACAACATCGACTACCACGGGCTTACATGTTATGTCATGGCTGGGGTTGTGCTTTGTGGGTTAATTACCGATGCAGGAGGATCACACTCCATGGTAGGGCCTTTTGTATTTGGAGCTATTATGCCTAGGGGAGAATTCTCAAACACTCTTATAAAGAAGCTCAGAACTTTTGTGCCAGTGGTGTTGATGCCTATCTACTACTCCGTCAACGGCGTAAGAGTCAGCGTTGACGATATTCTCAATCTTAGAGATCCAGCATCGGAAGCAAAAACTGGGACTAACATATATCGTGTAGTCGCTGTTTTCATCATAGCTTTTGTGGCTAAGATTGTAAGCACTTTCGTTGCCGGCTTACTCAACAAAATGTCACCACGGGATAGTCTAGCTCTTGGATTTCTCATGAACACCAAAGGCTTATTGACAATGATTATACTCAACGCTGCTAGGGACCTAAAGGTACATACATACATACTACAATATATCGATATATATATGGCTTCATGCGAGAAATTTTATTATGGTACTAGAGTACGACCATGTGGTATAGCTTGTACACGTTTTATAATATGGGTGGACGACATGGTTGCTATTTCCCACTTTAGGGAATAGTATCAATAAATATCCATTTATATTATAATACGTGTGGATAAGTTATACCACGTGACTATACTACAGTACTACACTATAATTTATGTGGCTAAATTATATTTAATTATATATATATATACATATTACTGAATCATATGTATGTATGCATGTTGAACTCGATACTGGGTATCTTTGAAATCGACCCTTGTTATGTGGTATTTATGTTGCCAGGTCTTGAACAGACAAACTTTTTCACTAATGATGGTGGCGATTTGGATGATGACATTTTTTGTTGGGCCGTTTCTTGCCGTTGTTTACAAGTCGACTAGTAGGCCTTCCACGCAATACAAACAGAGGAATATAGGAGGCCTAAGACCGAAAACCGAGCTTCGAATCCTCGCATGCATCCACACCTCACGCGATGTCCCTGGAACAATCAACCTCCTTGATGCTTCTAATCCAACCAAACAATCCCCTATTCATGTCCTTGCCGTCCAACTTGTCGAACTAACTGGGCACACATCGGCGATGTTGCTTTTGCGTGACACTTCCGGAACTAATACTACCAACACCAATGATGTATATATGTCTGAAAACTCCTCTCCCTCAAGTTCGTTTGAACTCTATGCCAAACAAAGAGACAACGTCTTCGTCCAAACACTCACTGCGGTGTCTGCCTATACCACGATGCATCAAGACATATGCAGCATGGCGGAGGAGAATCGTGTTGCCCTTATAATCATCCCATTCCACCAGCAATATTCTACAACTATGGATGGAGGAGGACCACTGCAAGATTCAAATAACTCGCATTTGAAGAGCCTCAACAACAACTTGGTTGCAAATGCACGGTGCTCTGTAGGTGTCTTTGTGGATCGTGGCCTTGGTAAATCCACCTACTCCAACTGTCGTCACCACTTTGCCATGTTGTTCATTGGTGGCGTAGATGATCGCGAGGCATTAGCGTATGCGGGGAGGATGGCTGGTCATCATCAGGTTAGGCTAACCGTTATACGGTTTAACCTTAAACC